GAAATTCAGAAAGTAACACTGTGTAAACAGTAAAAACTGCAGGTCCTTGACCTATAAGGTTGAACCAAATGAAACTGTCAATATCTGCCTGTTTTTATCTATGAGACTGGCAATTTCGAATACCCTGGACATGTGAAGGATTTCTAAATCAAACCTAGAAATATGGTCTAAACCACACCTAACAATGAGATAGAAATTTGTGTATTCTGCTCTCTCCTCTATTGATAATGCTGAAAATACTGCTTGCTTCTCCCGCAGATATGCAATCTGAGGAAAAATTATCAATGTTCTTGGAGAAAGTCATAGCCAAATGACCTTAAAGAGGTAAGACGTCAGGGGCGCCTGGGTGGCTCAGTCGTTAAGTGTCTGCCTTCGGCTCAGGTCATGATCCCAGGGTCCTGGGATGGAGCCTGGCTTTGGGTTCCCTGCTCAGTGGGAAGCCGGCTTCTCCCTCTCCCACTCCCCCTGCTTGTGTTCCCTCTCTCGCTCTGTCTCTCTCTGTCAAATAAATAAATAAAAGATCTTTAAAAAACAAAGTAAGAAGTAAGACTTCATACTGAAAGCACAAAGATAAATACCAACTGATGCAGAGAACTAAAAATGGGCATAGATTCTGATTCTCAGCATTATTATGACCTGACCATGAAATCACAGGTGTAGTTCACTGGGCCTCAGTTACCCCAGCTGCGGTATGATGAGATCAGAATTATGACCTTGAAGATCCCACTATGCTCCAATATCCTTTGACCTGCATTACTGATAATCTACAATCGTCAAGGGATCATCAAGGAGAAGGAAATCCTAAGGGTTCCTCAGGATGCCACATATTTGTACTACACTTAAAGCCATCTGGCAGAAACTCAAAAATAATTTTTCAGGGGAAAACAAGAGTTCAGCTAAGTAAAATTTTAACAAAATGATGTTGGCCTGAGATCAGAGAAGGAGGATAAACTACAGGAAAAAATGAAAAAGCAATACTATTGGTCCAAAGTGCACACATCAAAAGATTGCTAAAAAGGTCTCAAGCAGCTTCTGCAAAGCTGTCTTAAGAGTTAATGTCCTTTGAAAATGTGAAGGCAAGGAGTCTAGTTCAAGAATGGGTCCAGTTTGTCCTGCCACTAGATTTGGGCTTCTATAAACATAACCCCAGATGTTTATTTCAACATGAGCAAATCAACTACAATCAAATTTCTTTGTAAATGGTATAAAGCCTACTCATAACAATTTGATTCACAAAAACTCAGTGTAAAATTTACCCTCCATAAAGCCCATGATCATGAAGGTAACTGAAGGGATTTTTGAAAAAGGAACACCATGCACAAATGGAAAGCAAGCAGAGAGAAAACACACAGTGAGAAACTAATAGAAGTAATTCGACTGAAAATATTTTATTGCCGCTTAGTAGAAACTGTGTATTTCCTTCCCACTAATTTTTCCTCTACTAAAAAGAAAAGCACAAAATTGATCCCTTACCAGCATAAAATTGGTCTATATTTTTGGAAAGGAAATCACAGGCTATTATAGGCATTTTCCAAGCTGATTTATTCTTTTCAAATGATTGCCAGGGAATTAGATTTCCATTTTTCTTTGGTCTAGTCATTCATGCTCTTTGTTGGAGATTTGCATGAAAATAAGAGAGCTGAAAAAAACCCAGGGGAAGAACCAGCAACTGGAGAATTTATATAGACTTCTATCAATCATTGGAGACCAATGTATATATAATATAACAAAGGCAAAATTAGACCAAATATCTGTATTTTGCAAAGATTTCTTTTGCAGTCTGTCACATTTCCATGCACAAGTCGTCACACTGAAGTTAGCTCTTGTACACTGGGAGATAACTCAAAAACATGCAATAATGCTTTTAAATGGATATCCCAGGGACCCATGAGGCTCTGTTCTCTCACTATCTGTGGCTACACTTGCAAAAGAGGGACGATATGTTTCTAACATCTCTCGAGCTTTTTAAAATAACAATTTTAATATGCATTTTCTTCTTTGATGAAACAGACTGCTTTACGAAAGATGAATTATAAAATAATTTACCTTCAGAGCAGTGCCAGACACTCAGACTAAGCACTGGTAACTCATCCCGTGCAAACACGGAGTTAATGTATACTCATGTACTCCAAGTCAACAAACACAAATTGCCCAAGTCCCAGACTGACTAAGGTAGATCTTCCTGCTTATAAAATCTCTAAAACTATGACACTAAATTATTCCTTTTATTGTGTGATCTAGAGGAATTGTTTCAAATTGTCCTATTAATTTACACAATGCTCAGAACGAATTTCCAGAGCTCTCTTAAGATTCAAAAGGTGGTCTGGTTAGGAATTCACCACTAATTCATAAGCTCTGGGAAAGTAGGAACTTCATCTTTCTCATCCCATCCTTAATACTTCGCTGTAACAGATCTTCAATAAAAAGTTTGTTACATGAATCAACTCAAGTATTCCAGTCTTAACTGATGATAAGGTTTCATCATTAACCATATTTTGTGTCTGGATAGGCATACCTAACTTTCTCAGACAAAAGAGATCTCTGTTAAAGGCTGTCGTTTTTTTAGATATTGAAATACCATTTTAAAAATCACTGTATGCTTTCCTAAAACATTTCCATACCTCTCTACTTTAGGATACACATATTAGCTTCCAAATACTCCTATAAAAAAAAAAAATCTAAGCCATGGGGCACTTGGGTGGTGCAGTCAGTTAATTATCTGACTCTTAGTTTCAGCTCAGGTCTCAGGGTCTTGAGATCAAACCCCACGTCTGCTTAAGTTTCCCTCACCCTCTCCCTCTACCCCTCCCCCTCCTCTCTCTAATATATAAATAAATTTTTAAAAATAAATCTAAGCTTTCAGAGGCAATGAAGGAAGATCCACCGATTTACCTAGAACAAGAATTGGCAAAGTACAGTGAATGGGCCAAATCCGGCCCACAGGCTAAGAATGGCTTTTACATTTTTAAAAGGTGTGAAGATTCAAAAGAAGAATTATTTCATGATATGAAAATTATATGGAATTCAAGTTTCAGTGACCATAAAAAGCACCAGCCATTCTCATTCATTTACACACCATGGTTGCTTTTGTGCTACAGAGGCAGAACTAGGTAGCTAGTTGCAAGAGACCATATGGACCAGAAAATCGAAGATGTTTACTACCAGTGTTTCACAGAAAAAAAGTTTGCCAACTCCTGTGCTAAAATGGTCAGATTTTCTAAACCACATCATTTAAAAAAAATCAATTTGGACTGACAATATTTTTCCTGTTAACTGGAAAAAAAGACGGGGAAGACTATCATAGAGAGTAACTAGTTCAGCATGATGTGCTGCTATATAATTCTTCTGAGGTCATTTTGGCTGAGCCAAACATTTCCAGAGTGAACTGGAGGCAATTTGGGAATGTTTCTTAATACCATCACATGCATGTTTCCCTCTTAAGAGAGAGGCACTTAGCCTCTCTTGGTCTGTAAATGATGTTATAGGTCTGTTTCTTTGATCCTGCTGTAAGATTTTATAAGAACTAAATCAGTTTTACACTTGAATATATTAACATATATTTCCTTCTGATATCCTAAAGAATATATAGGATTTGCAATGGGAACTCTGTCTGCAACCCTGAGTTCTCATTCTCCTTTGGAATATTCTGTGTCCCCAAGAAACCTCTTGATTAAACTTCCCACTCAGCCTTACTATAAAACTTTATAATTATGATTTGCAAAGCTTTCATGCTCAAAGTAAATGGTGAGATCCCTTCTAGGCAAACGAGGTCTTAAATGCTCAATGAGCCTGAAGTCCTTTAAGGGAGAGCACACTCCTTTTCCACCCCTCTGCTGTCCACCCCATACCCCATAACCAGCAGGTGCTCAGAGGATGCCTCCTGAGTATCACAGATGCAGTCCAACACCTCGGCTGCATTTATGTTGAGCCCTCTTTCTTATACTTTCCATAGCTCTCTCTCTATAGCTACTATTAATGTACCAGAAAATAACCATTATTTATTGTTCATTTACATTTCTATTGTAAAAGACAATCTTTGCCTGAGGCAAGATGATTTTGGCTTCATTTCTTTCGGTCTGAAGAGCAGAGCTGAATGTTTGAATTACTTAAAGGGGCCTAAAACGTATACATTTTACATTATCTATGGAGACTCTGCCAATATCTCCAGTATAGACACTTAAGCTAACAAGTGATTATCCTTAACCACAGAAGGGTGAATGTCAACAGAATCTTGATTTGACAACTTTCCTTTCTCCCATGAGAGCTATTCTATTCTGATTAGTCACAAAACAATTAATATCATCAAAGATCCAAGAGTCAAGGTAAAAATTAACATATAAATATATAACTTATACACTGCACGTAGATCTGATATGGTTGCAAAATCTGGCCCAATTTCTGTAAAAATGTATTGCTGGAAGACAACCTCGAACAGAGATGCTGAAACATGGCAGTAAGATGCTACTTTGCCCTTTTGCCTCCAGACGGCTTCCCAAGGAGCATGCGCTAGGGTCTCAGAATCCTCAACAGAATCCTCTCCAAGAAATCACTTACAAACCCATGTGCTATCCCCAGTCTACAATGGTTTTCCCTAAAGTGGATTGTGTGCCTCCCAGGCGAGGTACAGGACAATGCACTGGGATGAGGGAAGGTTACATGTCGTTGCATATACACATTATGACTAGAGCAGACTGTATACTCAAAATTCTTCTCTGGATAGATGTGTACGGATGAGGGGTAGAGATAGCAAACTCTGTTAGCATGAGTCTCTTTGTAATTCACCTCAAATGTTTTAGCTTCAATTTCAGAAGCTAGGTGGACCTTCTCCAGGCTCTATGGAAAGAAACCGAGAAGGTTGTTGAAACTGAAAAGGGTCCCCACACCGGTTCATGGGAACCTATGATGCTCTGCTGTCTCCCCGCCTTGGGTCTTCTCATCGCCCACCCACCGTCCAATTTTGGACCCAGACGCCTCCTGAGAGGGCACAGCGACACACTCACTGTTTCTGAAGTAAATGTTGGTGCTGCTGCTGCTGCTGCTGCCTATAAGTCTCGATCGTGTGCTGAGGCAGGTACTGCATGAGCTCCAGGGACTCCTTGATCTTCAGCAGCATTTCATAGGTCTCGCGGCCCCTCACCTACGTGCAGCGCGCAAGGAGAGACAAAGGGAAAATGAAGAGCTCTGGAACGGTTAGCGGCACAGTCAGTCCTCCTCTGTGGATTCCGTATTGCCGAATTCGCCTGCTTGCAACACTCCTTTGTGACAAGGAAACCGAGCCTTGTGGTGCTCCGTGGCCACACAGACACACACACACAGAGGGCCACACTGCAGCTGCTCGCACACGTTTCCAGCTCAGGGGCACGATGGCATGTTCTGCTGTCTCGCTCCAGCTTTTATGCTGCAAACAAGTGTCCTCTCCCTGGTCTACTGAGTGCCACATTTTCCACAGTGTGTGTGTGTGGGGGGGGGGGTTGTTGTTGTTGGTTTTGTTTGTTTTAGTTTTGTGTGTGTGTGTGTGTGTTTTTTTTGCGTTTTTTGTTTTGTTTTGTTTTGTTGTGTGTTGGTTTTTTTGGTGAACCTGCTCTTTAAACTGGTCCTCAAGGGTAATGCTGAAGCGCTGTCTAGGATTCCAGGTGCCAGAAGGCTGCCATGTGCCTTATGGAGAAAGTATGTTAGATAAGCTTCATTTAGGCATGAGTTGTAGCACTGTTGGTCATGAGTTCGGTGTTAATGAATCAATAGTACACATGAAATAAGGTGTCTTTAAAGAGAAACACACATCAAACAAGGTTATGTACTGACTGGTTGCAGAAAATGTTGTGATCAGAGACTCACAGGAACTTCATCCTGAACTTCCCCATGAGTCAGTGTTTGTTAGAACAGCATTTGCAGTGAGTTTATAAGAAATAACTACCAAAAGTAATGAGAATTAATGGTTATTAACTTATCTCTGGAAAGACTGAAGTTTTCAGCTGAGGCAAAACATGCTTCTCTCTTTAAGAAGGTCTCTTAAAAGTTTTTAAAAAGTATGAGCAGGGCCAGGACTGGAACAAGACCAGCAGGGTGCATGAGCACTTGCAGGGCCCCACGAGCGAGTGCCTATTTCAAATCTGCTCCCTAGGCATTTTGCTGGCCTCACCCCAGTCCCCGCCCTGAGAGGCAGGATTTGTCAGAATTCAGAAATGGAAAAATTTTCTCTACCATATGTCAGGTTAGCTCCTATTTGTCCCAGCTCTATGGTCACTTCTGCAAAGCTTCCCCTGATCTCAGTCTTTGGGTGAGTGTTCTGCCCTTTCTATGTGCTCCCACGGCATCATGCCCAGCTCTACGGAGGGATTTATTTCATTACATTCTAACTGTCTCCTTGCTAGAAGGCAAGCTCTTTGAAGGTAAAAATTATAGTCTAATAATCACTGAATGCTCAGGGTCTAGCATATTTTTTTTTTTACAGATACCAACTAAATTCATGTTAAATTAAAAGTTTTTTTTTCCTTAATTCACACATCCCCGTTTGGCTAATTCTTCACTAAACATAAGATGTAACTGATGACAAGGTACCCCCTTCCTTAGTACAAACTGGTTCCTATCTCAACAGCTGAAAACATATTAGGTCTTTCGGAATATTTGGTTTATCAGGATAATGTTGAACTTAAAGTTCACAAGTCCGTTTCCATAGGTAGCTTGAGAAAAAAGACACTGAGAATCTTGGCTAACTCACCGTCTCATTGTTTGACTAGCAAGCAGTCTGTTGCCCCGGAGGTCAGGGCCCAGAGAAGGCGGGGAAGCAGGTAAGTCACACCCAAACCTGTAGAGTTGCTTTGGTGTCAATACAGGGGCGGCAACCCCTGTCAAATCTCCTGGCCCGGCTTGCCTGGGTCTCAGGTACGTTCAGATGGTGAGGGTTATGCTGGTTACCAAGACTTTGCCACCACTCTCCATGGCCAAAACCTAAGGTGCTAAGAATTCAACAGACTGCAACCATAGTCTAAAAAGGGAACCTCAGTGACCTTGAGAGGACTCATGTTCCTCATAGGAATGAACAATGCTCTTACAAAACAACTGGGCTGAGTCTTCTGGCCATTCACATATAACTGAGGATCCTGTCTTGCTTGGCTTTCTTTGTAGCACTTCCTAAAAGAAATCGCATTCAAGTCCATAAATGTTGTACTGTCAAATCTGTGAGCTCCTTCTGACAAAATCTGTCTTGGCCACACTGTCTGGGGTAATCTTACATTCTTAAACAACGAACTGCAACTTAATTTTAAATATTTGGGTAAGAAAAATTATATTAGAAGAGTAGCTTTGATTGGGCGAGTAGTAAGTAGAGAAGCCCGCACTACTGACAGATTTCAAAATAGGGGAAGAGACGGATTATTTCCTGATTTTTCAAACAATATTTTCTCCCTGTTTTATCTCCCTAGTCACCATCGTCCCTTTCTCATTGTCACAGATAATAAGATGATACAGAGGAAAACCTCATTCAGAGACGGTAAAAATGAAGCAATTGTGAAGACTCGAGGGAGACTCACTGGTAAGTATAACAGCTCATCATCTGGGGACCTCCGTTTCTTAATGGATGTCATCTGGATGCCATGTGTGTTCTGACGAAAAGCTGGTGGAGGGAAAATGCAAGTTTCATCCTGGGAACATTTCTGAAGCACTAGTACATTTATTAAACAGACAGTAGCCTCAGCAAACCTGTGAGATTAGAGTTTTCAGTCCCAAGCCTCCATTTCCTTGGTGATCATTGCATTTACATTAAGTGTACACCTAACAATAATGAGGTGGGGAGGGTGGGGAGGAGTAAGTAGAAGGAAGATATCCGGGAAGCTGGAGGAGAGCCTTTGGCCTAAGTGGTGCTGCAGGAATCCCCGTTTCTTGCTGGCGTGTCTGTGAACAGCTGTTCAGGGAAGGAAGATAAATGGGTTTGGTGTTTTATTTTTCAGATCATTTATCTTCCAAGGAGGTAAAGGAAAGGGTGTTGTAGAAGTTGTCTTGCCCATGCGCTCAGCTTGTGTGTTCAGCCCTCCCGCGGCAGTGAGGACATCACGTAACTTCAGACAGACAGTTCTCACTCCCAGGCCCTCATTTTCCCTTTGGTAAAGGGAGTGGATGCAGCTCATAAATCCTTAAGGTTTTCAACATTAGAAACTACAGCCAGGATCCAGGATATAGAGAGGATTCTTTTGCCAAAGTTCGGATAATCTATTCTTCCTAAAAGTTATTAATTTGTAGGTAACTGAGGTGCTCAGGGAAGCATATAGAAACGATGCCACCAGACAGACTCATGAGCAAAATTAGGGTGGAAATAGAATTATATACATATGTATGTATTGTGTCTGTGTGTGTGTATGTATATATATATATATATATACTTTTTTGAGGAATAATCAGGGAGAGAAGGAGCCTAACAGGAAAGGCAAATCATATGGAAAAGTTAGAAGTTGATGATGAGTAGCTGTTAAAACATTCTGTTGTTCTGTAAAACGCAATACAATTTATATTTCTTCTGGATACTAACCAGTAATAAGATTAAAACATGTTTTCATGAAATAAGTCACAGCGTGGTATACTTTAAAATACTTGGAGTGATAATAGGCTTATGCAAGGCACCTTCTAGAATCAATTTCTTCTCATAGGTTAGATGCACAAGTGGATCAGTGGTTTTCACACTTTGTTGCCTGGAGGTCTAGGCCCCTGTACCACACGGGCAAGGGGTGATTGAGAGCCACAGACCACCCCTGACTGCTGCCCCTTTCAAAAAGAATATTTTAAATATTTCATTTAAAAAAAAAAGCTTTTACTGCTTAACAAAAAGAGTTTGAAAACAACGACCTAAATCATTAGTCTCATTATAAATGAGATACCTGAGGCCCCAAGACAGTCATACGTGTCAAAACTCCATGAAACCCGTATCTGCATATTCCCCAGACCGTCCTTTGTGAAATACATTTGTAAATCTCACTATTCCCAGGAATTCATAAGGTAGACAGATGCCATTTTCAGTCCTTGTGCACAATTCCAGGAAGATAAACTGGTATCAGTGGCTCATACCCAGAGTTTCTGATTCAGCAGGTCTGGGAACTAAGAATTTACACTTCTACCCAGTTGCAAGATGATGCTGATGCCACTGGTCTGGGAGTCACAGTTTGAGGACCGCTGGACTAAGAAATCCTCACCATGACGATCTGCTTTTGCAAAGCTGTCTTGCACACCTGGAGTCCTCCATTAGCGGGACAGCCATTCACATTGGCTGTGGGACCTCAAGTCATACTTGCCCCTGAAGCCCTGAGGTAGGTCTTCCTATGCAGCTTCCCCAGTATTGCTCTTGGCCCCCACATCTGGAGAAGATTTCACCCTACCGCATTTGGCTACTACAGCTACTTACGGCGCTTCGTACCGTCACCGTTCTTTGCGCTGTCCGTCACCTGCTGCTTCCTGATGCTGTCTTCATCCGCCTTCCGGTCTCTCCCTGGGCAAGCACAGATCCGGGCCTCAAAGCAGCGTCGGCCCAGGACTTGCCCGCTAGGAATCAGAGAGGAGGGAGAGAAAGGGTGAAATTGAAAAGAATTGTAAAAGTCCCTGGCATTCTCTCATTTCCATATCCAATGCTAGCCGTCACCCATCCACCATCACCACCAGCTCACTCATGGCTGCTTTGAGGATGGACCCAGAAGCACTTGGCAAAACACAAAAGGGCTTATGTGCCATAAACAATATTAGTAAATAACATTCCATTTGTTCTGCAAAGAACCTCCAAGCCATTAACTGAACAGCTGTATTTAGCTACAGATTTTGAAGGAAAGTTGAGTTAAGCCAGTGGATGTTTCTGGATAAAACCCCCTTAGGCAGCCCAGACTTACTCAAAGAAACTGTTAACTGCCTTGGGAGCCACATGAAAACAAACACTGTCTAATCAGAAACTATTGCAGTCAAATGTCAAGAATTCAGGTATGAAGTGACTTGCATGCCTTCCTGGTTCTTTTCTTCCCTCTCCCTTAACGCACCCTGCTCTGTCTCCACCTTCTTAGATCTTTTATGTCACTGTTTGCAGCCAGGATTTAAAGCACAAAGGACAAAATCAAGGGTAGCTCTTTGCTGTACGTGGAAAGTTAATGATAGAGCAAACACAATTTCACGTTGCCCTCTGCCCACGGTGTTTTGCAGAATGACAATTCTGCACATGCCACTTACTCTCTGGTTTCCAGAGTAACAATGATTAAAATTGGACGGCGGTTCATCCCTCCAACACAACTGCTGTTACACATGAAATTGTACAGGACTGTCGTGAATTCAGTGCCAACCTGAACACAGGAGGAAAAAGAGTCCAGGTTAACAATGGTTTGAGCTGATGTTCTTCCTTCTCAGTTCTCTTCTCTAGTTAACCAACTCACTCTGATGAGGTGATACGCTCTCTTCTAGCAAGACAAACTCTAAAACCCATTGTAGATTCCTCTTTGCCTTGCCTCTTGGGAAGCTTAAAGCTAATCTTTGCAACACCGGGCACTAAATTAGAAATTAGATTTAAATTAAATCTATTTTATTTTAAATATTTACATTAAATTAGAAAAGCACAAAAGACTTTAAAACATAATACTTAAAAAAAAAGATTTATTTATTTTAGAGAAAGCGAGACAGAGCAGGGGGTGGGGCAGAGGGAGAAGGAAAGAGAGAGCGAGAATCAGGCTCCCTGCTCCGCGCAGAGCCTGATGCAGGACTCCGTCTCACGACCCTGAGATCATGACCTGAGCAGAAATCAGGAGTCGGTCTCGTAACCAACTGAGCCACCCAGGTGCCCCTAAATCATAAAACTTTTTGATCCTATTGATCCTGTTCATTCGCAAGCTAATCCCTATCACCTAATTCAAATGGGGAGAAATGAAAATATTATCCAAAATAGCAGCAACACCCAGTGAAATTTCCCCTATGTGGGTAAAACAGCTTAACACAGATTTAAATGTACACTTCCATAAAGAACACTCTGGAGCTGAAAAGGTCCTCAGGATTAAATCATCTATTCCAAAGTGGTTGTTTATGGGCGAGGCAACTGAAGCTTAGAGAGGGAGAGCCACAGGCTAACGGTCCACATAGCAAGCCGGCAAACCATGAGACTCTGGTAACACTACTCCAGCGTTCTTACTATAGAAGCAGACTGCTTTCCTAATCTGCCACCTGTTTGTCCAAACTTGAGCTAAGAGATCCCCCTCAGAGTCTCCCATCTGTAGACCACTGGGAATATACTGGCATCCGGTCCACATCTACTACCAGTTCAATTGCCAGTTAAATTCTCTAGATGAGTCAGGTATTTACCCAATTGCAAGTTCAATTATTATCGGCCTTTAAGATGGGAACCTGGGTACATAGCAATGTTATTAAGTAAACTTAATACAAATGTAGGAGTTCTGAAGGGGAGAGAGAAGCAGGGTGGTAAAGAGGGAGAGGAGAAAGACAAGAAGGGTTCTATTTGATAACAAAAACTGAGGCAGAAAGAGATCCTCACAACACCCTCTATCACCAAAATGAATGCTCTCCCAAGTCAACCCAGTACTTATCTTTTTACCTGGGGTGGCTCATAAGGTACCAACACACTCTGTCTTCCTGTGATGGGGTCTTCTACATATTGGGCATGGCTATTCCCTTCTACTCGAATCAAATGACTAGGAGGTGCAATCTGTCCTGCAGAACAGAGAAAGACAAAATAGTTAGTTCTTTGCCTTGGAAGAAAGGAAGAAAGGAAGGAAGGAAGGAAGGAAGGAAGGAAGGAAGGAAGGAAGAAAGAAAGAAAGAAAGAAAGAAAGGGAGGGAAGGAGAAAGGAAGGAAAAGAAAAGAAAATGAAGCTGCATGGGCAAAATATTTGTGGCTAAAGAAATGGTTTGTTTGATAGAGGAAACATACATCCTTGAAGAAAGGAAGGAATCTCATTGCCAGACATCTAATAAATGAAGGTGTACCTTTGTAACAGTAGAAAGGGCTGGAATGCTCACCTATATTTAAGGGAACAATCCTTTGTTTCTGGGGCTGAAGGTTAACAATTCAAGCTGTCAAGGAACTCTATGACTATTTCTCTGCTCTTTTTTTTTTAAGATTTTATTTATTTATTTGAGAGAGAGAATGAGATAGAGAGAGCATGAGAGGGGGGAGGGTCAGAGGGAGAAGCAGACTCCCTGCTGAGCAGGGAGCCCGATGCGGGACTCGATCCCAGGACTCCGGGATCATGACCTGAGCCGAAGGCAGTCGCTTAACCAACTGAGCCACCCAGGCGCCCCTATTTCTCTGCTCTTATCCACAGAGGGGATTCTGCTAGCTCGCATGGGAAAGGGAAGGAAAAGGAACAAGTTCATAAAAACACAAAAAACCCCAAAAACTCAGCTTGAGAATAGATACTTCCCCAACACTGATTAGCAAAAATACTAACAAGAGGTAATAGATGGCAAGGATATACCTTTCACTGCCTGTTTTTTTTTCTGCCATAAAGTCTCCATCTTTACACCTTTACATCTTTTTTTTTTTTTTTTTTTTAAGATCTACACCCAGTGTGGGGCTTGAACTCATGACCCTGAGATCAAGAGTCACACGCTCTACTGACTGAGCCAGCCCAAAACCCCTGGATTTATACCTGCTTTGGTCATAAAGATGAGAAACTTACTGGTTTTCTGGAGCTGAAAGAGCCCCAGGTTGGAGGATCAGAAAAGGGAGGCATGCTTTTAAAAGAACATAGGCCAAATTTCACAAAATTGGGATACTTGACAGAGCTCCAAAAGAAAGCAACTGATCTGAGAATTGGGAGTGGGAGCCATAAATGTGTTCTTACTCTTTGGGTATATATTACCATTCTATAAAAATTGTTACTCTATAAAAGTCAAAAATTAAGTGTGAAAATGCTCTCTGAAGAATCATTTATTTGGCAAAAACTAAAAACAGGTGTTATGTCAAACAGTGAGAAAGCAAAACAAAACAAAATACAGTTATATCATCTTGATGGATCAAGGGCAGTTGTGGAAACCTGTAATGGAGCCTAGCTATAAGGAATCATCTTTAAGTCATATTGTTAAGTGAAAAACAAGATGGAAAGGTACTGAAAATGAGGCCATGTAGACAAGGACTGGAAATTAATGTGTAAAAAGTAGTTGTGTTAAGATGGGAGGATTTTAACTTTCTCTGTTGAAATTTCTATCCACTCTCTTTCTTCCTCCATTAATTTTTCTCTACCATCTAGTCCAACATCACACTAGCTACCTACCAATATTTCTTTTTAAAAATATATTGTCTATATAAATTATCTTAACCTCCAAGCCTCCTGCACCCTCCTGATGAATACTTTTGTGTTCTCTTGTTCTTCCTTTCTACTTGCCGCTCCTCCTTACTTAGCCTCCCTTCATAGAACCTTAGAATATCCAATGTAAGAGAACCCTTGGAAACAGCAACCTCCTCTGTAAAGCTGTTGTTGGATCTGAGGCTCAGAACATGGGGCATTGGTGATGGGTATTAAAGAGGGCACGTTCTGCGTGGAGCACTGGGTGTTATGCACAAACAATGAATCATGGAACACTACATCAAAAACTAATGATGTAATGTATGGTGATTAACATAACAATAAAAAATTTAAAGAAAAGAAAAGAACATGGGGCATGACTTATCCATGGACACAGAGCTTAAAGGAGGCCCCAAAATACCTGCTCCCTGACTCCCAGTCATGACTTTGCTGTCCCCCCTCCCAGCTTATGTCCTAGATCTTCTTTTTGCTCCTCTTGTCCATGATTTATCTTCATTCTTTCTCCCCCCCACTTTCCTCTTCCATTTTGTGTGTGTGCGTGTGTGTGTGTATGTGTGTGTATGTGTTTCTCACCTTTTATGCTCCCTCCAGATCTCAATTGGTATAGCCTTGACACCACTCTAGGAAAGCCACTAAAGCTGAAGGTTACCCTCACCTGGGCTGAACGGGTCAAATGTCAGGTTGTCCCTCCTACACCCTCTCATTTAAAAAAAGAAAAAAAAAGAAAAAAAGAAAAAGGAAGCAAACAGTAGAAGTGTAGAGGCAAGTTCAGGTCACCTAGTAATTACCAATATTAAATTACGAACTGTCCAATTGTTATGGAGCCATAAATGCATTTATCATTATTCTCAGATAGTCTGTTAGACAAAAAAGGTAGACTGAGCTGTCCTCAGATTGCAGAGTTTGGAACCAGGTAGATGGACCCCAAAGAAAAATCTCCACAGGATCTCTATTTTTCAGGAGCTTAGCTGAACAGCCCCAGATCCCAATTCTTACCCTCATTGAATTCACGGCTCAGCTCGTGGTTGGGGCATCGTTTCACCACCTCGGTGACATGCTCAGCTTTCTTGTAGACAGGCATGGCACGGATGACAGCGCCCTGTGGAGGTGGGGTCATCACCTTGATCTGGATGGGACATGTCTTTGCAATTTGGCAGTACAGTTTCTTCAGTTCAGTGGAATACTGCTTAGAGATGGGCCGATGGTGGCAGGAAGAAAGAACCAACAGGAGATATTGTTACATTCCAAATCAGAACAGGTCCACTTTCTATAGATGCACATTTACGAATGGCTACTACATTCCCAACAATGACAGCCAGCAATCTTTTCAGAAGACTTATAGTCACTAAGCAAATTAATCATTTTTTCCAACTTTAAATAAAATCCTGTAAACAAAAGAATTCACATTTATCAAAACACATTGATGTCATTATTTTCTGGTATCTTCTCGTTAGGATGAAGAAATTGATTTTCAGAGGGGTTTAAATAAATCATACCACAAACAGCTTTACAGAATGCCAGAAACTAAGTGGAAAAAAACAATGTTTTCATATATTGAGTGATATTAAACAGATGATAATTTAACCTGCCCTTACAATACTCTAGAGAGACTCAGAGGAAATAGGATTTATGGGGGAAAACATTAGGATGGAATATATAGCAGAGAGTAAAGAGATTTTATCCAAGGCCCAATCAACTAGAAAACTGCAAAGCAAACATTTTCCCAAATGGCTGCACTTATATTCTCATGCCATAGCCTAAGACAATGTGAAAGTTGATAGGGGCCATTTGGTCCTATACTCTCATGAACAGGACTGGCCTGTTGCAATGGCACAAATCATGATGGCAAAAGCCATTAAGATACAGATCTCTTCACTCATAAGTGACTGAAACTTGTATTCCCCACACTTCCTTCTGAGGGAGGGGAAATTCAGTGATTCGCTGGTTGGTTGGTGGGTTGGTTGGTTGTAGAACTGACAAAATAGGGGGAGAAAGCATGAGACCTAGAACCAAATAGAAGAAAAAATTCCTATCCTGTGTTTCTTCCCTTCCCCATCTCTGAACCAATGTAGAAAGTCTCCATTCTAATCCTTACATTCTATTAAACCTTAGCATCACTGTTCTCTGGGCCAATGCCCCATCACTGCCTTCCTCCTCAGTCTGCTGCTGCAGTGAAACCACCAGGCACCAGCACAGCCAGCCAAGAGTGGGGCACCTAGTAACACTTACCCAAACAAAGGTAAACACATACACACACACAGGTTGCAATCCTAAATTGGCAGCAACGGTCTTCCAGGGGAAAGACACTGGGGACCAGGAGCCAGAGTGGCAAAGAGATGTATTATTGATATGTTTCAACCTAACTCTGACTAAAGGCAAATGTCTGACTAAAAATAACTGCTTTATTTCATCCTCTTGAAATATTTTATTTAATCTTTCTTTTTATCCAAAGGGTTTTAGTATATGAAATTTTCAGTTAAAAATTTCCTATTGTGAGAAGTGTGTTGCATAATCAGCTCTCCATGACCACAGCTCAAGTATTAGACACAGCAAACGGGTTTTATATTGCTTGAGGAAATAGGGAGCACGCCAAGAATTGACCACAAAAATAAAATTCTACTCGGGAAACACTGAATGAAAAGTAGAAGAGTATTTTTGTGCTAGTGTTTTTAACTAATGACTTTACAAACAAAGACACTGCCTTAAGGTATGTTAAGAACTCACTTTTACTGAGAATGCTCAGAAAGTAAGCATAGCCGTTTGTGTTTTAGTTAGGAGATACATAACCTAAGCGTGAGTTTCTTAAGATTCACCTCAGGAAAAATGACTGAAAAATAAATTTGTTATCTGAAGGCAAATAAGACACCTACCCAAGTGTGTAAAGATTGAAAAAAAAAAAAGGAAGGATAAGTGTTCAGAGTGGGACAGTTCAAAGAAAACAAAACACATTTCAATAACTGATATACTATCAATCAAACTTGACAGACTAAAATGTAAAAGTACTAAATAAATGTAGGCTTCATCAGCTGTTACCCTCACTCGTTCTCAGAGATGGGAGAGGGGAATCTCATTTCTGAGTCTGAATAATGATAAATAATAATGGCTTTACCTTTTCCTGAGTTCTGCTGTCAGAAATGGATTCCTCACACAAACCCATGGGGAAGGTATTACAGGGATACAGTCTCTTATCTGAAACCCCTGGGGCCAGATATTTTAGAATCCAGAATTGTTTTGATTTTAGAAAGGGAGTAGAGTTCATATAGCATATATTATAAACACCTCCAGCAGGATTTAGGTCAGCACCCCAGAATCAAATGTTAACGTTTCTTCAGAATTCATGACTATTCACACCAACTGGGAAATGACTATAGAGCCTCAAAGTTCAGGCCAGATTTCACCACCAAATGAGTCTGTCACAAACTTCATGAAGTTAAAACCAAACCAAAGCAACTTTTGGTTTTCAGAGCTCTTTGGATCTCAGAATTGCAGATAACAGATAATGAATCAGCATTATTATCCCCATTTTATAGATAAGAAAGCAGAGGCATACAGAGGACTTGCCTGAGGTCATAGAGAAGAGCTGGTTAGCAACCAGTATCGGAGAGTCCTAATCCCAGCCCTGTAACAACACTCCCTTGTCTTGATTTCTCTTGGCTCGGCAGTGCAAATTTGTGCACTTTTACCTTTCTCTAATCCCCAACAGCGTGGCTATACTCTGAAGCAACTTCAAAGGTATACAATCTTCTCTAACATTAAAACAAGCTCAGAAGTCGTTGACTCACCGTCAACAATTCCTCTTTATTTATTTCTCAGTGTAATAATGTTTGCTCATTTAATTACAGAGAGCTGCAGCAAGTGATAGAACTGAAAAAATACTGGACTAGGAGGAAGCCGACCTTGGAGTCCAGTACCAGCGGTCTGTCAGTACTCTTGATTACAGCTCAGGGCAAGTCATGAGGGAGGCCCTGATCTTTCCCATGGTTTGTTAAGGCCCTTTGTGGTCTGACCCCATCTATCTCTCCTTCCCTCCCCTCACCCCCCAAACACACTCACTTCCCACCGCATGTTCTCTCCATGCAAACCTCTTAACGTCTCCAACACACCATACATGCATCACCCACAATTCAATCGTACCATTCCCTGTCTCGAATGACTCACGTTGTTCCTCTGTTCTCCACACCAAGCTTGGACAATTTAGATATCCCCCCTCAGCTCGGACTGCATCTAGTACTGCAGACCACATACTCCAATTTTAAGGATGAAAGTTTCATATTGACTGAATCTAAATATCTGACCAGGGCCAAGACCCATTTTGATCATTGCTTCTGGTGACACTAGCAGGCCTCCTCCTCAGTAACTAGAGGGGCTGAAGCAGCCTGGTGTGCTCGGTTCTTTACAAAGCCAAGCTTCTGCTACTTTATTTCCCTCACTGGTCGCAAATTCAATCTGTGCTGATGTGTAATATTTTTCCAGCACTAAATTTGGGCTCCCTGGCCTACGGTGTATTCGTAATTCTTTCGACTTCCCCACTTCCCTTATCCTCTACCAAATGGCCACTATCTCCACCAATTTTCCAGTCTTCTGCAGGATCACAAGAGAATGGCAATCTGATTTACGCCAAGATATTAGAATACACTGGTAATTCAAGTTGGCACAGGGTGAAAAGCGGAACACATCTGGCTGCTTTTAATGTCTCTTTCTTTCTCTTTGGGACTTCTAAAATCCTACCTCTAAACTGCTCCCAACATTGACTTGAGATTCTTTAATTCTAAGGTCTAATTTCTTGGGGGTATGTATCCTTCTTTGTTTTGTTTTAATCAGCTTTGAGGTATAATTTACTATAAATTATACCAATTTTTAAGTATATCAGTTGATGACTTTTAACAAACGTACGCAGTTATATAACCACGTCCCCTAGCCCAGTCGTCAAAATTATCTTTTGCCCCTTCTATAGCTAAACCTCTTTCTGACTCCTTCCCTTAGGCAACCATTTACCTGCTTTCTCTCACTGCCTTATTTTAGAATTGTATAGAAATGGAACAATACAGTATATAATCTTATGTGCCTGGCTTCTTTCATTTCGCATAATGCTTTTGAGGCTCTCCATGTTTTGGCATGTATCGGTATTCCATTTTATTATTTAGTGGAATTTCATTATTTATCTACACATCAATTATTTCCAGTCTGTATTTACTATGAATAAAACTCTTGCAAACATTCATATAGAAATCTTAGTGAGGACACACGTTTTTATTTTTCCAGATAGGGACCTCGACGTATGATTGCTCAGTAAGTGTATGCTTAACTTTATAAGCAACTGCCAAGCTGTTCTACAAAGAGGGTGTGCCACTTTACATTGCCACCAGCAGTGTATGAGGGTTCACATCCTTGTGAGCACTTGCTATTGTCAGTTTTAATACCATTCTAGCAGGCATGTAATGGTTCTCACCATGGTTTAAATTAGCATTTCCCTGATGATTAATGATGTGGAGTATCTTTTCATACACTTATTTCATATCCATCAATTAGATTTTTATATAATTATATTTCACTTAATAAAAAATTAAAAATATAAATGTATTTATTTTATATAAAGAAGTTAAATATATAATTAAAAATATAAATATATTTATATTTATTTTATACTTTTTCATATACTTATTTACTATTCTTTTTGGAAGGGTTTGTTCAAATCTTTTAAACTTTTTAAATTTTAATTGTTTTAATTGGGTTGCTTGTGTTCTTAATTTGAGTTGAAAGAGTTCTTTATATATTCTAGATAAAAGTCCTTTATCAGATACACATTTTTAAAATATACTTTCTCCCAGCCTGTAGCTTGTCTTTTTTATCCATTTTTTGGTGCTTTTACAAAACAGTTAATTTTGAGGAATTATCAATATTTTGCCTTTAAGGCTTATGCTTGTCGTGTCCTAAGAAATCTTGGTCTAACCCAATGTCAGAAGGATTTTATTTGCGTGTAGAATATTTATAGTCTTAGCTCTTGCATTTAGTCTTATGCCTATTGTTCAGTCAATTCCCCTCCTCCTCGTCCTCTTCTTCTTTCTAACAGCTGTCCAATTTGTCCAGCAACATTTGTTGAAAAGTTTATCTCAATCATTTCCCTCTGTTCAATTGCCTTAGAATTTTTTTTTTTGAAAATTAATTGACCACATGTGTTCACAT